TATTGATAAAATTAATATTTTATTTTAACATTTACAGTTTCATTCATTGAACACAATAATCCTGACAATAAGATAATATGTTTGGAGAAAAATATTTCTAAATATTTCTGCAAAATAATGAAATTGCTATCTAAATGATAATTGGATGAAAGGCTCACAAATTGAAATTAATGGAGCAAAAAAGATGTATTTATATCATTATTTCAGATATTTTACTGAGATCATATTGCTCTACATATCATAAAAATGTTATAAATGAATCTGTTATATTAACAAAGATATAGCTGATTCAGTAGACTTTATAATCTTTATAAAAATAAATTTTAATCATTTAATTACGACAGTAATCTCTGTTACTACTTATAAAAAATAAAATAGAAAGTTATGGAAGTCATTTACCAACTTGAGATAAATGTAAATCTCTGCCATCTCTCTTTAGATCTTAATTCTTTTAGAATGAAAGACATACTATAATTTCCATCTCACCCTGATCTCCTCTCACCTGGCCTGAGAGTCATCTCTGATACTATCTAAAAAGAGCTCTTTTTTACTAAAATTCTTACAGCACTGTCCTGCTTAATATTTTTTTTTAACAATTCACCACCTAAAAGGAAAAGTCCAACTCAGTAGTAGAACATGCAAGATCTTTCATGATCTAACTCTTGTCTTCTACAGCCATTTCCATTATATTATATTCATACTTCCCTGAACATACCATGTTCAGAATGGTATAGTTGCTTCAGAATGTTGCTCAGGACTTATCTGCTCTGTGAATATTTACAGAGAGGACCTTGCGTGCTATCCTTAAAGCAGCTTAACTACTATATTTTTCCCATTAAAGTGGATGTTTAAAATTTTTAATTTCATGGACTCTCATCTTTCTTAGTATATTAATAGTATTTCTATAGGTGTAAATGTTAACTTTTCTTTTCTTAAAAGTAGAAATACCAAAAGAAGTTAATGAAAAATTCTTTCAAATTGTTTATGGCATTGACTTCATATATCATAACTAAAGTTATAAGTGAGACTATTTTCTTTAGATGGATGAAAGATAGATGGCTAGACTGATAAATAAATAGGGACAGAGATGAGAGAGAGAGAGAAATGGGGCTTATATAATGAGGAGTTGTTTGGGGTACTAAAAAAGTTAATTTCTTATCTAATAAATTGCTAAAACAACTTTTATTCTTAATTTGTTTATAATTCTTACTCATTTTTAATAATAAATGAAGACATTTATTTAATGATGTTTTGAAAGAAAATATTTCTAAATTTAAAACTTTTAAACACTTAAATATGCTTTAATTTAGATTAGAAGTTTATTCCCTAAGGATTTGGCTAATGGAATTATTTTCATGTGAAATACTTTTGAAAATAACTGAGAAAATATTTTATCTCCCATTATGTAGCTGAAATGTATGTCATAAAATAAAAGCAGTTATAAATTATATGGTTTCTTAGACTCTTTTTTAGCATCCTGAAAGATAGCAGTTTTTACTATATATATGTATATTATATTATGCATAAATGTCTATTTTATATATACATATATATTTTATATTATATGATTGTTATATATATAAAACATATATTCATTATACATAAACACACAAAGTCAACTCTGACAGCAAAAATTCATATCTACGGCAACCAAGTTTCTTGTCAAAATGAATCTGACTAGTATCAGTGAAATAAAGGCCTTCTAGCAGATAGCTATGAACCAGCAAATGTTTGTCTGCCAGAAAGAAGACAAGACATTGGGCAAGATAACTGGTGAGCAAGGCTGTGTCACACAGATACACCATTTAGCATCCAAGACATGCAGCAGTCCACTGAAAATGTTAGCTGCCAGTTGTGGCCTTCAGACCTGCCAAAACCTAGATTTGGTATATATTGAAACTTTCAGTTTTTCTTCTCTTTTTCTGGTTTTGTTGTTGTTTTCTATTTGTTTTCTTTCTCTTCTTTTATTAAAATTTTTTTTTTTGGCAGGAGGGGAGTATTAGTCTGGGATAAAATAAGCATTCTAATAGATATTTTATAGATGCCTGAGAATGCATCTTAAGTCCATGCATATAAGGAAATTATTCAATCAAGAAAATCAAGAGAATTTGCTTTGAAGTAGTGTGGGAAATAATACAGATACAGAAACAGCATAGAGAACAATGTCCCAAGAGAACTAAGATTAGAGAAAGAAAAATTACATGACTCTAAAAACACAAAAACCAGATGTACACCTGACTGTAAAAGGTTTAAGTGACAAAAATTTGCAGAACACAAGCAAACAAGCAGAACCTTAGTGGTAGCATTAATAATGAGTCCTTCCCTCCCCCCCTTTAGTCTGAATTTTGAGCAAGAAGAAAACACAATTCTTTATGGGTAATATGGTCTTGATAAAATAAAATAAGATTCAAGATCTAAGAGTGAAGTACAAGAAAGGTATGGGGTATAAAATAAGATTATTAGAACAAGAAACATCAAAGAAGCAATATCTGGACTAAAGCAAAGATAATTCTTTCAGAATAATGGTTTTTTTTTTTTTTTACCAGTTCCTTGATCTTAAGGTATGTGTATGAATCAAAAATATATGGAAAGCACACTCAGTTTGCATTTCATATCTTTGCATTATTTTCACTTAATTATTTTCTTTCCGTCATTCTATATCATGAAAAAACTCATTCAAGTAGTGCTATATGTAGATATCAGGCACTGGCAGACCATATCTGATTACTATTCTAATCATAACTACAAAACAAAGTACACAAAACACGTAATTTTTTTCTTCATTCAACAATCACTACACAATAGGCTGCAAACATCTATACTCTTTAATTCCCACATTTTGCTGGAATTAAGAGAAAACTGAAACACAGAGGAGTTAATGCAGCCAATAAGCCAAGACAGAATGTGGCACAGGCATTTGGAACCTGAGCCTTAAACACTTCAAGTAAGGAAGACCTCCTTATGGAGTGCTGCCTAGAACTATAATATTAAGCCATATGTCTCCCTGAAAAAAAAAAAAAAGTAATAAGACATTTTAAAAATGATTATGTCTTCTTTGAAAATCAACTGCTTTTGACAAAACAAAAATCAAGTCTGAACAACACAGTGAGACCTCATTTCCACAAAAAATTTCAAATTAGCTGGTAATGGTGGCACAAGCCTATAGTACCAGGTACTTGGAAGGCTGAGGCAGGAGGATCCCCTGAGTTCAGGAGTTTGATGCTGCCTTGAGCTGTGAGGACACTACTGTACTCTAGTCTGGGCAACACAGTGAGACCCTGTTTCACAAAAAAAAGTCATATAATTTGCCCTAATCTGTTTCCATAAGGATTAGATTAAGAGGTACTCCTTTAAAATTAAAAATGGAGAGTGAGCCAAAATGGCCGACCTAAAGACATAGCTTTTCAGAGTGTCCCAATTATGTGATGTTTGTACCATGTCAAATCTATGTATATTTAAAACAATTTCACAATTTGAAAGACTATGTGACATATAGTCACGTTGTTTTAATCATGACATAATCAACAAACATACATATAGAATTTATATTGTATCTAATAACAAAATTTAGTGACATTCAAGGAATGAATGAATATGAATGAATACCATTTAGAAAAGATTAAAATAATGGAAAATATTAGAGTTAATATTATATTGAGTAACTGTGTAGCTCAGTTCTTCATTTGCCTGAGCAACTACAAAGAATTAGAAATAAGAATTGAAATCAAATTAGGTAAATAACTGTTCTGGTTAACTTAAATAGTCTGTAGTAAATCAACCATTCCCTGACTTCAACCTGTCCATTGTAAGTATTTCTTAAAGAAAACTTTATTTGAAAAGATACAATAACTTATTTTTCTCTATTGCTCTGCACCATGATACTTAGACCATATTTATTTACATACATAAAATATTTTCCACAACAAAATAGCACTAAGAATTGTGCAAATTAATTTCCCTTGGGTTCACAGCATGCCTTATTAGTAGACTGTGTACATCCTCCTTGCTGCCTCTTGACTCATGTTTCCCAATGCTTGAGATATTTTAAACATAAAATACCAAAAAAAGTCAAAAGTAAAAACCTCCATTTCTAATATAATAGAGAATTTAATATCATCTTAGTTTGCCCCAATATAAATACATCCTACTTTTTTGGTTACTATTCCCAAGGCATAAATGTATTCTATACTTACTTTGTAAGAAAATGTACTTATTCTCTTTTTAAATTAATAGGACTTCTGTATTAATGGTCAATATGTCATTAAAATGTGAATCACCTCTTCAAGTACATGTATCTGTTATTTATGCACATCAAACTTTCACAATCACTTTATATTTTAGTTATATGTATTTCAGCAATTACTGCAAAGTGATTAAAATTTTTACACTAACATTATATATTTATAATCAACTCACATGGGAAAAAAATCTAAGAGTATAATATTAAAATATCTATAATTACCATGAAATACAGTCATTCTTCAGTATCCCGGGACAATTGAATCCATGACCCTTACCCCATACCAAAATCTGAGGATACTCATGTCCCTTATGGCGTAGCATTTGCATATAATCTATGGACATCCTGCTCTATACTTTGAATCAACTTTAGATTACTTATAATACCTTATAAAATGTAACTGCTTGGTAAATAGTTGTTATGCTGTATTTTTAGAATTCGCATTTTTTTAATTGTTGTATTGTTATTTTCTTTTCCAAATATTTTTGATCTGTGGTTTGTTGAATCTGTAATTGCAGAACCCATAGATATGAAGGGCCAACTGTAGTGATCACACTGTAAAATTATTTTTTCTGTTGTAGATTTTTTGGATTTGAGCAATTAAAAATGACTAGTTAAATTCTGGTATTAGTTAATATCTAGAGTAGCTGATTCTTTGAAGGTCAAAAGTTTCAAAGGTCATTATGATGTTTCAAAAATGTCTCTATCTACAACAAAGACATTATATCAATCTGCATTAAATTTATGCTTTTCTCAACAGGACCACATGTCAGTTGTTTGCTCAGATGGAGGATCCAATTATGTTCTCTTTCTAGGTATGTGCCCCATAATTTAGAAGTAATTTGAAGGAAATAAATTTTGATAAAATTAATGTTGCAAAAGATCAAATATAAAAAATTATAAAATATATTTTCTTTATAGTAAACACACTTTTAACATACATTATTAATATTTTAGTAAGAAATTTTGAGGACTATCCAGTAGAAAATGTAATTCTCAATAATTATAGTTAAGTGAATTGGAATGGACACAAAATACAAAGGATGAGCTTATATTCCAAAATTATTTTAAATTCCATATTTTTCCATAAATTCTGTTTCCCTACATACAGAGAACCTTAATCATTTTAAAAAGATAATATATTTCTGTGTATATGTGTATATATACATACGTAATCAAAAAGAAGTTCCTATTAGTCTGGGTTTTTTTGTATATTTAGATGCAATGGTCCTCATCATTTATTCCCAAATGATTTCAATAATTGTTATTTTGATTTTTTGCTTTACCATTTTCATTAGAAAATAAAGATACAGTCAAAATATATGAAGAAGTGAAACTAATACACTATTTTAAGAGGCAAGAATGTCTGCCTGAGTTAGAAAGATGTGCTTGAATGTGTTAGTAACGATCTTCTTTTAGTATAGTATGTTACCGAACAGAAATGTTTTGACAACACAGGCAGCTTGCAGAAGTTAGGTAATAATTGCATTGCAGATTGTAGTTCTGTTTGTAGGGCAAGAAGAGTACAAGTGAGTTCACTACAGATGGAGATAAAAGGCAGGATGGTATTCAATCACTGGTTCCTGCTTCTTCAATAATATGTGCTACTTTTTTCCCTTTTCAATATAGACCCATATTTTTGTCAGAGCATAAAAACAATGAAGTTCCTCTCTTATAATTCTATTATCTTGGTGCCACAAAAGAAGGGTGACATATATTATCCAAATTTCAAACATTTATTCATAGCATAAATCTGTCATAATTCTGGAACAAAATATTTTCCCCGACATTTGAGAGTCTTTTTGGAGCTTGCCAAATCATCGCTTTGTCCTCTACCAGAGCTCTATAATAACATATTTGTGAAAATGATATTTAAGAAATGACAGTAAGGTTGATAAATTGGTCCTGGGTTATTGTCATTTCCTATTCATTTTTTCCCTGTCCCATACTGAAGAAATGTAATGGGAAATAGCTTTTTATCCATGTAGTAGGAAATGAATCCAAGTCTACATTGACTTTTAGCTGAGAAATTAGGTGTAGGGCTCTCTTGGATCAGTCTGAGACGCCAAGACTACGAATGGAATTATAAATCAGAAGTGATAGAAGATTGATTTTCTACAAGTATATCAATAGGTTCCAAAATTACTAAAGAAATCCAAATATATTCAAATGGCAATACTACTATTTTAATTATAATAGCAGTATCGATTTAGATTTTTGATTATGTTAAGTCAGTGGTTGACAAAAGAGTCACCTGGAAAGTCTGTCAAAACACAAACAATTGGACTCCAATTCCCAGAGTTTCTGATTTAGTGTTCTTGGATAGGGGTTCAGAGTTGCATTTTATTAAATAATAGTTTTCCATGTAATGCTAATGATGCTGTTTGGTGGACCACGCTTTGAGAATCAGTGATGTAAATCATTGATTTACTTCATGATTTACTTGAAAGCTCTTGAAAGCTAAGAATCACTTGTTTTCAAATAGAAGACAGTATGAACTCATAAATTATGTATGTTATAGGAAAATGTTTAGCTAGGGATTATAAACAACTTTTAGGCAATGTTTACTAAAAATACAAAAATTTATAGATACATATTAAAGTACTATATTATTAATTTTCATTCTTCAAACATTCTATAGAGGCCAAGATTGAATCACTGATTTGTTGATTTTGTTCATTAAATAAATATTCAGTGACTGCAAGTAAGGATGGGAGTGAGTGGTCATTTTAACAAGACTGGTCAGGGAAATCAGATCAGTTGACATTTATCCTGGAATATGTAAAGAAGTGAGTTTTGAAAAAAATCTAAGAATAGAGTTAGCAGCAGTTCCAGGTTCTGAAGGACAGACAAGCTTGACTAAGCTGAATCACTGTTTTTCAGTTTGTCAAAAAATGCCCAAAGGATTCAAAGAAAAATAAATTAGAAACAGCTGGTGGAATTTATGAATTCAATTATGTAAACTTTCTTACAGACTAGGAAGACTAAGACTCCGCAGTATCTGTTAAAGGAGTGTGCTGAAGTTGAGGTCACAGGCACGATGGGAAGGTCCTAAGGAGACTGGCTGACAGCTTAGGAAAGATTATCTGGGAGCTCATGTTAGATTGTTAAACAAACGAGAAAGCCAATATTTTCAATTACAATTTGGGACTGTCCTCCCCTAGAACTGGAATATTTGTTTTTTTATGTTCTCATCGTTAGGATGTAGGAGAAGTGGAATTCCAGAATAAATTACTCTTGACAAAAATGGAGTCAGATATAATAAAAGGGGACAGTGATATTGCAAACCAACTGACTTCAGTGAGGCATAATGAATTAAGTCAGACCCCTAAGGACAGGACGTATTTTGCTAGTAGCTAGAGAGTTTAACAATCCCTTCAAGCTGACCTAAACCCAAGACACTGCTGGAAATTTAACGTCAAATTCTTATCCTTTGGATGCTTTTCTCTAGCCTCTGTATAAACCACCAGTACCCTCTGCCAACACATTCTTGTCTTTCTTTCTTTTTTTTTTTTTTTTTAAACAGATGGAGCATTACACAATTTACTAGGCTACAGATTTAGATTTGCTAATATAGTGACACTTTCCCAAGATGCTACCTGGGTCACTATGATATGCTTTTGAGGAATCCTCAAATTCTTTATCATCTCACATATTTAGGGTTTGGGATGTGGCTGCTTGTAGCAATGACTAAACTCTCCTATTATAGTGTTTTAATTTTAAAAATAATTTTAAGTAATTTTATTTATTTTTACAATAGTTTTATTTTTAGAGTGTTGCCTAATTCTCTTCTGTGGAATAGCTTGCAATCACCATGTTATGGGCTGAATTGTGTCCTCCCCAAATTCTTATATTGTAGCCCTATCCTCCAGCACCTCTGAATGAGACAGTATTTGGAGAAAGGGCCTTCAAAGAAGTTATTAAGTTAAAATGACACCCTTAGGGTGGGCCCTAAACCAATCTGATTTGTGTCACATAAGAAGAGGAAATTTGAGACTGGGCGTGGTGGCTCATGCCTGTAATACTAGCACTCTGGGATTGCTTGAGGCCAGGAGTTTGAGACCAGCCTGAGCAAGAGTGAGACCCCATCTCTACTAAGAGAAGTAGAAAAATTACCCGGGCATCATGGTGTATGCCTGTAGTCCCAGCCACTCGGGAGGCTGAGGTAGGAGGACCTCTCAAGCCCAGGTGAGCTAGGCTGATGCCACGGCACTCTAGCCCACTCAACAGAGCAAGACTCTGTCTCAAAAAAGAAAAAAAAAAAAGAAGAAGAAGAGGAAATTTGGATATAAAAAGAGACACCAAGTATGCATGCACACAGAGGAAAGGTCACGTGAGGACACAGGAGATAGCCATCTACAAGCCAAGGAGAGAAACCTAAGGAAAAGGCAAAACTGCTGACACCTTGGTCTTGGAGTTCTAACCTTGAGAACTGTGAGAAAATAAACTTCTGTTGTTTAACAACCCGACTTGAAGTACTTTGTTACGGCAGCCCTGGCAAGCTTACATACCCCATTATTTCTGACTATGAAATCATTCAAATACAGCATGTCACAACGGTTAATATTTGGACCATAAGATGATCCTTTGTTCATATATAAAGGTGAGGAAGGAAAGAAGAGAATGAATAGTTACTAAATGCAATTTCTTTTTTCCTGGTAAAAACAGAAAGAAAATCAGAGACATGATGGCTAAACTCTCTTCCTCTTGCATGTTCTTTCTCTCTCTCTCTCACACACACACACACACAAACACACACACACCCTAAGAGAAAAGTATCACCTGTACTCCCAGTAGAACAATGATGTACAGATTGAGTGCTTGTTTTTGAATTCAATGATTGAGAAGGCACTTGTAGCATATTAAGAGTTTCTTTAGAAGTAAGAAGTGTCAGATTCTATCATTTAGCCTTAGGAATGGCATTTTAAAACAGTTGTGGCTCTAGACCGCAGATTCCAACATGGCCAAACATCTCCTGAACTTATGTGACATTTAAAAAGATAAAGAAATATGACTTAAGTCTTCTACTACTCAGTAATCCTTTGGAACTGGGCAGGGATTTATGAAGTGCTCTTGCAAAACAAAGTGCATAAACCTGAAACATTTCTGTCACAGCACACAGAACAGAAAGAGACAAAAACAAATATTGCTGTCAATCTCAATAATCTCAATGACATTCAGGTTTGTCATAGTGGAGTAAGTAGTGTTAGAAAACATTTAACAAAATGTTTTTATTTCACTGGCATCGATTTTTATCATTTCACAATGTATCCTTAAGTTATGGTATTCATTTTATTATATTTGAACTTTTGTACATAATAATTTATCCCTCTAGTAACCAGTGAAACTTCCAATTTGCAAGTGTGCTTCTACATTAAATTTACCCACATTTGCTTCATCATAAAAAAAGTCACAATCATATATTGCCAAAGTTTGTTTGGGTTCATACTAATAACTCAGTTTACATAAGAGATTATTTTATAAAGTATAAATTAAAAATCTGCAAAGCTAACTATAGAGTATTTAATCTAATGCATCTTTTTATATTTTCCCTAAATTTTATATTAAACATAATCTCTAGAATTTGAATGAATAAGCAGGTACCTCGTGGCACATATAAAGTAGCCAGAGAAATATAAATAATGTCATCTATATGATCAAGCCAACGATATATAATTCAACCATTAAAAAATGAAATTCTGATATTTGTGGCAACATGAATGAAACTGGAGGACATTATGTTAAGTGAAATAAGTGAAGCACAGAAAGACAAATATTGCATGTTCTCACCATATGCAGGAGCTAAAAAAAATAGTCTCCTGGAGGTGGTGGGTAGAATGAAGGTTACTAGAAGCTGGGAAGTATAGGGAGTAAGGGTGATGAAGAGGTTAGGTAATGGTACAAAAAATATAGTCAGATTAAAAGAATAAGTTCCAGTGTCCAATAGCACAGTAGGGTGACTAGAGTTAATAAGAATGTATTCACTATAAATTATAAATTCTCTTCAAAATAGCTAGAAGAGAAGAATTGGAATGTTTCCATCACAAAGAAATGATAAATATTTGAGGTGATAACTCAATTACCCTGATTTGATCATCACACATTGTATACATGTATCAAAACATCATCTATACCCCACAAATACATGCAGTTATTAGGCATCAATTTTTAAAATTATGTGACTGACTGAGGCGGTGGTCTCCTTCACAAAGGTAAACAATAAACTCAGCTCTGTGTATCAAAAAAGTGACATATGGTTATACATATATAAAATGTATTTTGTAGTTATTTTTCAGAAATTTAACGTTGAACCTATTTATGCATTTTTATTTCTTCTTCTTCTTTTTTTTTTTTTTTTTTTTTTGAGACAGAGTCTCGGTTTGTTGCCCAGGCTAGAGTGAGTGCCATGGCGTCAACCTAGCTCACAGCAACCTCAAACTCCTGGGCTCAAGCGATCCTCCTGCCTCAGCCTCCCATGTAGCTGGGACTATAGGCATACGCCACCATGCCCGGCTAATTTTTTCTATATGCATTAGTTGGCCAATTAATTTCTATTTATAGTAGTAACGGGGTCTTGCTCTTGCTCAGGCTGGTTTCAAACTCCTGACCTTGAGCAATCCGCCTGCCTTGGCCTCCCAGAGTGCTAGGATTACAGGCGTAAGCCACCCCACCCGGCCACACTTTTATTTCGTTATGTGTCTAATTAGCTACATATGACTGCTACTTCTCATTTAAAAGTTAATCAATGCTCAGAAAATTTGCATAAGTAATATTCAGTTAATCTCAAATTTCTGATAAAAGTCTCTTGACACAGGATTGAAATCCTCTACTAAGCATCTGAAATAAGAGCACTTCTTAATTACTATGCCCATTTTACAAAGAAATAGTGATGCTCAGGGTCTGAAGGAGAAGGCCTAGTCATAGGTAGGAGTATCAAAGTAAAATTAATGCATATCACACACACACACACATGCAAATAACATGGTTTAAAAAATAGATCACTTAAAAAGGAATGACAGTTGTACTGGACAACAGACATGTCATCAGCAGCAAGGTGTCACTGCTGAAAATCTATGAATAACTGTTTCTTTATATGAAGCTCTCTCATCTTACTCCCAACACTGACTTCCACAAAAATGAGACATTACAAAACACTAGCCCTTATTACCCAATACTCAAAATTAGCTGCATGTTATACAAAAGTTATAAATACATAAATAAACATGGAATTACAAAGACACAAGGATAAAACTGAAGGTGCAGATTTTCTTTTGAACCACATTCGTATATTCTATGCTTTTGTCCTTCATCTTTGAAAACTGTATACATAACGTGTGTGTGTATACATGTTTGCATTGGTATATGTGTGTGTCTTAGTTTAGCCACAAGAAGACTGAGAAAGAAAGGAAAAGTACTGTGGAGAAAGCCCCCAAAATAAAGACTGTGTTCATAGATTGCAACTATCCCCCATGAAGCAGCCTGGTATGGCAAAATGTCCCTGGGACCTAGTATCTAACCCTGCTTTGCAACTTGTATTCCTCATTGGCCTTATTTTCCATTTAAAAAACTGATATAATAATTATCCTATACAAGTTTGTTTGAGGGATAGAATAAAATTATTTGTATAAAAAGGATTAATGAACTATAAAATTCTGTATCCATACCAGAATGTTAAAATAGTATATATTCTTTAAATACATATTGTATATTATGTAACACTAGAAAAGGAAAAATTATTAATTGGCCATTATTTATCCATTTTTCCTTTCTAGTCTGGAGGGATTTATATTATTTGTGATCTTTTGGACAAAGATTTTAATCCATTTTGTGGTATTATATAAGGAGAAATGAAAACACATGTTACATGAGGCAGCAGCACACAAAGTTTTTCCTTCTTACCATGAACTGAAGCTTGATCCCAATGTTTAAATCCTAATTTTAGTTTTACTGAGTAAAAATCACCAAATTCTTGATGCGTCCACTCAAGGAAATTAGACTGAACATACAAAATACAGCATTTAGAGCATTTGTTATGCATTATTCTGAAAATCTGGCACATTGAAGAAACTTAATTTAAAAAGTACATAACACTACTTTTGACATAAATATATGAATTAATTCTCTAAAAATGGTTTGGGAACATTGAGAGAATAACAATTGCTTTTCAGAATAATTTCTTTGAAATTGATTAACAAAGAAAGAGACTCTATGGAGTTGATTAAAATACACGTGGAAGGTGAAAGTCTGGATGCTTAATCAGCTATCTCAGGATGAAGATATAAGTATGAAATAAAACCAGGCAAATGAGATAATAGGTCCACAGTTTCTGAGTCTCATACTAATACTAAAGATAATAGCCATGATTTTGTGAATACTGGCTATGCGTCAGGCATTGGGCTAAGTTCTTCAAAAACTCTTTTAATGTATTCTCCCAGCGAGCCTCAGGAGTATGCCTCATGATCTCAATTTTATAAACAAGGAAACTGAAAATCTAAAGGTTAGCTAAATTGTCCACTGTCAAAGATCTGCTAATTTGTAGGGCTGGGATTTAATCTAGGTCTGTTGACTACAAAAATCCTGTTCTTCCATTGTAACACTGTCCTTCTAAAACACCACCGTGGCTAAGAAATTCCAGACTAAATGACTAAAGGAACCAGTACTTGATTTCTGTTATTTTTGTGATTTCTACTGAGGGGGACTTAAAAGCAAATGCTGTAAGAGAAATGATATCAACTGTGCAAGTCTCTAAGCTTTATGGAAATAACAGATTCTGTTTTTTGGTTTGTTTTTTTTTTCTTTGTATGCCCTACCCTGAAGCTTCGATAATATTGCTTTTCCAAAGTGTATGGCCTTTTTATGTTATTTTTTTCCACTAGTTAAAAATGTTTACGATGAATAATTACTTTCCCCACATTTCATGTTTGCTCATCTCAAGAGAAGCTCTGCAGATTTTGTCTGGAGCTGGTTGAAGCAAAGAATTATATTTCCCCTAATACCATATAACACCAGGCATTGGCAGAACACAGAAGAATATAAAATATTATGAGGAATTTGGAGTTGGTAGTAACCACAACTTAACTGGGGATAACATAGATCACAGATGGTCATGGAAGGAAATATAATTTCAGAAAAGTCATTCATCAGCAATCTACCTATCTGCTCCTTTTATTGATGGTTCTAGCTGACTATTACATGATATAAACAGTTTCGATGATAGATAAAGAGGAAAGAACATGTGAGGAAGGTAAAGTACTCATCTAATGATTTTTTGTGAAAGTTTCTTCTTCTAGTTAAGGATTGTCGCAGAGTATGGCCTGTGTCTGTGACATTGCTTAAAAAAAAAAAAAAAAGTAGTCGATAAAATCTCCTAAGATTCTGCCAACTGGACCCATCTCTGTCTCTACATTTTTCCAGGACCCCAAAAAGTTCCAGCAGGGCCAGTTGAGCAGATTGTGCCTATGAGAGAGCTTTTGTACTAGTAATAATTATGACAATATCAAGATGTCAGTTATCACAGAAAAAGATTTTCCCCCAAACACAAAATTTGCCATTTTCTAATTATGAGGCACTATTTTTTTAGTACATAATGAGTCCGATGCGCACCGTCTGGGGGATGGTCACGCTTCAAGCTCTGACTCAAGGGGGCGAGGGGACAAGGGCAATACATATAACCTTAACACTTGTACCCCCATAATATGCTGAAATAAAAAAATAAAAATAAATAAATAAAATAAATACCAGCAAAATTAATAAAAGAAAGCATTTACATACTCATTACGAAAAAAAAAATTCAGATTGTATTTACATCTACAAGTCGGGTTTGGAAATATCAAAATATCATGTGACACAAAAATGCTTGCATGCTTCTCATGGGTCCAGATGTAAAGGATCAGAGGGCTACTATCCGATGGCTTCTCTGCTTCACAAAACCTATGGTCTGGGTGGAAAAAAACCTAAAATCTTTACAAAGTAACGCAGATTCAAGTAAGAACATTTTAGACTCTTGATTTCCCTTTTGCTCTTGTTAATATCAATCCTAGCCAAGATATTTTAGTGGAAGTTTTAATTGTTTTACAGCTGTCTTGGAAGCTTGTCATAATGCAGCACTAAGAGATGCTGTCATAATAGCCTGTCTCAAGAAAGCTTCAACGAAGCTCTAAAATGAAAGCTCGCCAGTTGGCAAAGTCGAAAATTGATAAAGTACAAGTGAATTGGAAATTTCCTAGGTAACAGAAGCTCCAAGCCATTTAAAAAAAAATACGAAAAACAGGTCACTGCTTTCACGTGTGTGAACTGATTTCCAAAATGAAACCTGGTAATTTCTTTTACTGAGGATTTTGTTGAATAAAATCATGAGGTGTTTTTAGAGCAACATGGAAAAAATATATATCATGGTGTCACACACGCAAAAAAAAAAAATGGTACATACTACATGCAAAGTGTTCTTAGTGTTTCAGGTACCTCCACAAGTCTCCTCAATCAGTTTGAAAGGAAAAGGATATCACTACCAACACCAAGTGCTGCAAATTCTAGTGAGAGTTGTTTACTCCATGCAGCAAAACAAGCAGACCGTGGCTCAGGGGAGCACGTCGCCAGGGCTGTCACGATCGCCTATCCATATTACCTCATGACAAGTGTGAGCGCAGCACATTCAGACCCATCCAGCGTGGCTGGGTCGCAGTGAACCTGAATGATCTCATCTCCCAGGTGTGGGTCTGGCTGTTTCAGCCGTCTGTGCACATTCTGAATCCAGCAACTCATTTGGGTAAATTACACTGGTGGTAAAGCTATTGGATAAGGTTTCCACAACATAGTCATCGTTCCTCCTAAGGATGCTAATTAATATCCTTCAAATCCAATGAAGAGGCTACTAAAAGTTTTCTTGTGATGCATCATATTTTATTCACTCCTCATGCTCACCCCGCTGGTCATTTTGCGTGTGCGTACAAGGTGGTGCACTAGAGCAAGGTATTCAACTTATGGTACGAGTCAGGTGCTTTATTTTTCCTCAGTGGAAAGATTTTGGCCCAATTAGTGATATGATTTAGTTTTTAAGCAAATATTGTTGACTTGAACAACATATTAAAATAAAGAGAGCTTTTTTTCCTTGCCATTGTAGAGGTCACTTGAAACGCTAGTTACATAAGTAGTCTAGTTATATAAGTAGTCTCTTGGCATCTACACATTTAAGAGTTGGACTTTCAACTTGAAAGTCCATGAAGGTAATTTGCAATTTTCCTGAGGCCCAAATTTGAATCACATACATTAGAGTATGCAGGCGTGAGTTTGTTAGCCTGTAAATGAGCAAAGCAAATGAACTAGTACTCATATATCAGTACTGCTTATTCTTTATTTGTCTATGCACACATACTTTTGGGGGAAAGAGGGAATCGTATGTTTTTATTGAATATGGAGATTTGCAGAGGTTTTGTGAATATCCCTTGCAAAAACCAAGGATTTATTGGCAGAGGGTAAATACCAAGGACTCATAGCAGATATAGATTATTAATTATTCTCTCTTCTGATATCATAGTCAACCTAAGATTCCTCCTTACACAGCCCTCCAGGTAACCATTACTATTCTGTCATAATAGGTATGAGAGATAAAATCTCTTTGCCATCCCGGTCTGTTCTATATAAAGAGACACTGACAGGATCTCCTTTATTTTGATATCTTTTTTTACTATTTTAGTCTTGTACAATGTAAATATTGTTAATAAAAGGAAAACAGGTCAATTGCATTTGAAGAGAGTTAGAATATTTAGGGAAAAAAGGGAGAATGACATTACTCCCACCTACAAAAGATTTAGATATCTTCTCTATTACCATACTAGCTTTGAAAACATTTTTAGAAACCTTAAATGTGAAACAAAATGCTGAATGTCTACAATTTATACAATACCTAAGGAGTGTGTCTGTAACTTCACTTCAAATTCAACATTCAATTTAACAGTTTTGATTGCTAAATTTCTTCCAGGATTGTACTACACAGTAAAAGGCACCTAAGAGTCACTGTTTACTCTCTTCCAAAACATACAAAATTAACCTTATTTCTTTTAATGTTATTTCTAGATACTTACACTTCATAAATATCATAGATTCAATGTTTCTGCAGCAAGCAGAATTATGGTTGAGCCAATCCATGTAAGGGCGTGACAGCTATCTAGAAAAGTTTCTTAGGCTTTAGTCTAGAGTGGCATGAATCTCCTTGGTCCTAGACTTTTAAGTAAACTGACATGTTCAAGTCAACATAAAGGACAACAGAGGGAAAAATACTTGCTAGTATTTAGGTGCCTAAGACAAGAAACAGAATGAACTGGTTGACAGGGTTCTAAAAGACTACTTAAGTTGAACCAAATATCTTATTTAATAGCATTATTAGGTAAAAATATTGCATGCAGTGCATCTTTTCCTAGAATCAGAACATTTTTGAAAGCTGTGTTCTATTGAAGTGATTTTAAAATACTACATGTCTTATTGTTACCTTATTTTATACTGAGCCAGTGAAATTTCTCAGCTGAAATGTCAGGTTTATAATTAGAATTGTCAAGATATAAAATTTATCTTGCCTAAAGACATGGGTACCTTCTGAAAGATTTGAAATCTATAATACACCAATTAGAAAAACTTTCATTGAATCTTTCAAATTATAAATTAATTCCACATTATTGTTTTTACTTTTTGACCTTTCTAATAAAATAATAAACTATTTTGAACAGTGAATTTTAAGATTCATAAAGAAAAATTTCTGATATTGGATGATTTATTTAAATAAGAGATTGAATTTTGATCCTTTTACATATCCTTCAAAATTTTATGGAAATATTTATAATAGCCTTAATGTTACCACTGAGATATGAATTAATTGCTTAACTTTTGAGATTTGTTAATACTTTAATACAACATTTTGTTTTTCTGATGTTTCTAGTACCTAAAGCATAGTGGCACCTCCCCCAAGGATATATCTATACATTAGATTAATAAGTATTAATAATTTTTATGATTAATGCAAGCTCTAAATGGAAACTTTTAGATATTATGGGAACATATGTATAGCCAAATTTTTTTTTTAAATCCTCATTTGTTGGATTAATAACAAACTTTACCATCATGATTGCTTCTCTTTCATCAAATAAACTAGCCCCATGGTCATAAGCTTTTATTAACTCCATATTTTCCTTCATTTTATAGAAATGTTTAGCGAAAATAAAATGTAAAGTTTCAGAAAACAGTTTCAATATCTGATATATACAAAATATTATGACTTATATTTGAATAGAAAATTATGAATAAAGAAGGATTTAAACTATCTGATACAGAGGAAACTAGGTCAGTTGAAAATTTCTCTTTCAATCTCACGGTATAAAAATCTCATTTTTTAAGGATTTTTATTATTTCAGAATTCATGACAATTAGGGGCTGATTAATTGAAATTGATGTTTATATTACTTTGAAAAAAATTTTTACTCTTATATACTGTCTATTCCCCCCTATATCTTTTTGTTCATTATTAGGAGTATACCTTTGTTTCGGTTAGCATCAGTAGGTCCCTGAAATTATAATGTATGTTGAAGCAAATTAAATATATAATAAAAGAGCTCTTGATTTGCCCATAATGAAATATTTTCACCAGCTACTTACTTCTCCCTTGGTTCATCCCACAGAGGTGCTGTGGTCCCCAGGAGGAAGGAGGGACGGTTCCCACCACTTATTAGGGATTTGCTACAAATGTGCTGAGAATGTGTTCTTGATCATCCATGTAAAAATAGGTATAAAGAGCTGCTCTTCTGAATATTACTGGGCTATGCTTTATGGGACTCAACAATAAAACAAAATTTCTGATACTAGATACCATCATCGTCATTGTCAGTGTGTCGTGTTAAGAAAGTGTTTCAGTGTTCCAGTAACATACTGATTAAATGAATTATGCTGAAAACTTGAGATCCTGGGCTATGAGCTAGTCTTTGAGCATAAATTTTACAACTATATGATAGTGAGAGAACTCAGAAGATGTTTACCTAACTCAAGGAGGTTTGTGTTTACCTTTCAAGAGAAACTGAGAACCAGGACCTTGGAGACATTTTTAAAAGCCATAAAAGCCAGAGACAATGGGGTTTATCTGTCCTTTGGAGAGATTTACAATTCCAAAGGTTAAAGAAGGACCTATTTTCCTTTGCTGCCCATCTCCATGGAACAGAACTTTTTCTCCCTCCTTTTGGGATTTGTGGTGGAAGCAGCTACCCTTTTCTACTGTGTATAGGCAGTTAAAATCCATTTGCCTTCACCCCCACACCTATGGGAGGTGAGGTCACTCACACAGATTTTTACCACCTGGCTTTCATTGTGTGGTCCAGGAGCAAACACTGGTGTAAAGAGCACCGATATAGTTAGTATTATGTAAATATTATGACTAACTCATCTCTGATCCAGAACAGCTTGAGTGCACATTAAGGGTAAAATTAATATAGATGATTATTCCAAACCCAACAGTCATCATCATCACTACCATCATCATCATCATCATGGCAGGGACTAGCTAGACTCCAGTTGCTAGACATGCAAAAGCCTGTTTCTTTTCTTGCTGGGCACAGGGCTAGACTATATTTTTAAACCTTTGTTGCACGTCGCCGCAGGCATATGAATGAGCGTTGGCCAATAAAATGTGGGCAAAGTGACCGTCACCTCTTGATGCATGGAACCTACACTTCAATTCTCTGCATATTTTCTCTTAACTCGTCTGCTGGCTGGATGCAGAAAATCCAACAGGAGACTTTGAAATCTTAGATGTTATTGGAGCCACTAAATAGAAGGAGCACTCCTGGAGAAATTGTCTCCCATGAAACTTAGGAAGAGGGCTGCACAGCAGGAGGTGAGCAGCAGGCTGGGAGGTCAACTTTCACCTGTACTTACAGCCTGTCTCCATCGCTTGCATCACTGCTTGAGCTCTGCCTCCTCCTCCCTACCACCCCCCCAGTCCACACCCCCCAAATCCCTGCCCCAGCTTGTAGAAAAATTGTCTTCCATGAAATGGGTCCCTGGTGCCAAAAAGGTTGGGGACCACTGCAGCCTAAACCATACCTAATAATCCTCATTATTTTTAGACGTGAGTGAGTGAGAAATACTCCCCTTTGTTGTGATAAGGATGTAAGATTTGTGTGTGTTTTGGGAAGGTGGGGGATGTTATAAAAGTTTGTGTATACTAATGCAGATATTGAGTTTCAATCATTACCAAAGACTCCCAGTTGTTAGGAAATGAGCAATAGGGGACTTTGTATTCTCTCCTTTCCAAGAAATCCAGGTAATCCTTCATGATTCTAGATCAAAGGCAAATGATAAAGAGAAGAGGTTTTTGTAGGTAATGCATGTGTGAGGAAGAAAGAGAATGGGTTAGAAAGTGTGGATGCAAGTTGCGTAATTTATAAAATTCAGTTGTGCAATTTCTATAGCTCCTTTCTGCTTCTCCATTTTTCATCTCTTATATATGACTATTCACTATACCTTTAACCTTCTAATCCATTTTATGAATGTTCTGTCCAATTGGACATCAGTTCAAGTATCATGCTAGATTTTTCACACTATTGGACTTTCCCACTGATATTTTTCAAGAGAGAAAAGCAAAAGGCCATTAATGCAGTATACACTATGAAGGAGACACTTTATATGTTTGCTTGTCTTATTTAATTTTCACAATAGCCTTTTAAGGTCTGTGTGTTCTGAAGCATCATTTTTCTATCATTTTCTTTTCAATAATTAAAGAGACTTAAAAACCACCTAAGAAACAAAAATTAAAGTCTATGACCTTTTTTAATATTACAAAATAATGTGAGAAACAAACCACCCCATTCTATTGTTCGATTGTCAACTCCTCCCATAAGTTAGAGATCCAAGAAGATGTAGGCTTAGGGACAGGGAGGAAGTTAAGCACCATCTGGCAGACAAAGTACATATAAATAGTAAGAGCCCTGTGTCTTCATAAATGAAGTGTATGTTCAATCTGAGAATTCACTTATCTTGAATAGTCTGTCTCTTAAATATTCTGTTTCCTTCTTTAAACTTGCAACGGCCGTATTTTATTTATTTAGATCAATTAAGAATGACAATAGAAAAATTAGATATGTCTTTTCATTTATAAATCTAAAAGACAAGTTATGAATGGTGCTTGCTCCTCCCCGCAGAAGCTGATCCTGATTTTTACTGCTCGGTCAAATGCGCTTGCTGTGTGATCTTATATCACTTGCTACTTTCTCTACCCTTGAGATAATGTAAAGGAAGGCTAAATATTTCCCTTCAAAATGCTCTGCTTGCCTGCCTGAGCCGGTGTGGCATTTAGATCCCTGAGGCTCTTTTCTTAGTCAGTGAGGATCACAAGTAACAAGCAGGCTGAGGAGCTGCTTCTCACCATAGCTTGTTATTGTATCCAGGTATCCAGGTATAAAATAATCCAGTAAACCAGTAAAAAACTGAATGTTATAAACTGGAATAACTGCAACAAAAAAAACAAAAATTAAGAAGACTGATGTTAGAAGAAAGGGCAGTTCTTGAAATAGAACTCTCTGGTATAGAGACATGACAAATTGTATACTGGTCTTAAAGACAGAGTCGCCTCTATGGTAGCAGAAGGAAGTCACCGTTTCTGTCCTGAGAACTTTTGATCATAATTTGCCGGTGGGACCCAGCAGCCAGGCAACTGTTACCATTATCTCTAAATATTCCTCCTTGTATCTGTTACTCCATCTCTCTGCCTAGCACTAATAAATCCAGGAACTGTATCAGAGATCCAAGGATATTACAGCTCTGTGGTTATCTAATCCTGTGTTATATGATAGTCTTCACATACCCGATATTACTTTTCTCTCTCCGCTTATTAGGAGCCAGGATATTGCCAGTTTTATTTGTATCCACTCTGGTCTCAGACACGCTCGAGTGCGCATGTGCACTCCTACAGTCCTGTTCAGCATAATCCTGCTTTTTCAATAATTACTGTGCATCTACAAACTCAAGCCTCCATTTCACAGGATAATCAACAAATAACTAAATAATAGAAATAATTACAATTCTAACATTTGTTTCTCCCCAGTGCTTTTTTCACTATAACATTTCTGTTAAAAAAAACAAAAATTGTAAAAGAATAGGGCTTTATAAAGAAATTGGTATAGATCAAATTGTTCTATGGAATTTTTCAATTAATAAAATTTATTTTTTAATCTAAAGAAACATATATTGTGTCCCATAAAAAATTCTTAGGTAAAAAACATAAATTTCATTGTTCTTATATTTTGTTTTGCATTTGTTCAACAATTATTTATGATAACCTAATAAAATTAATTGAAAGTAAAGAGAAAGTAAAGGGAAAGTGTTCTTTATTTTTTAAATGTCACTTTCACTTCAAAAACAATCTCAAAACAAATTCAGTTAAGTTTCAGGATATAAAATCAACATACAAAAATCAGTAGCATTTCTATATGCCAACAGTGAACAGTCTGAAAAACAAATTTTTTAAAAGTCCCATTTAAAATAACTACCAAAAGAAATTTAAAAATAAATTTAACCAAAGAAGTGAAAAATCTCTGCAATAAAAACTATAAAATACTGATGAAAGAAATTAAAGAGAATACAGGGGAAAAATGAAAAACTATCCATGTTCTTAGATTGGAGGAATTAATATTGTTAAAATATCCATACTCCCCAAAGAAATCCAGAG